CTGTACTCTATGCTCTTGAAAACAATCCAAGTATATATGCCACCTTATTTAGTAAGGTTCTCTATAAAAAACTGGTCTCCCCCAACCGTAGGTGCCAAACAATGGGAAGTAAATTAGAAAAGGTCATAAGTAGATGTAAGTAGGGCCAACCTTACTCTTAGTCAGAATTGGGGGTCATTGTTATACTGGATTTCTTGGTGTGATGAAATTATGATTTAATTTCCCAATAAATTACCTTCCTAAGCTTGAAGATTTTCCACTTAACTTTCAGTAATTTGAGGACCAGACACAGTGGCTCACATCTGTAATCCCAGCACTTTGGGAGACTGAGGTGAGCAGATTACTTGAGGTCCAGGAGTTCAAGACCAGCCTGGCCAAGATGGTGAAACCCCATCTCTAATAAAAAAAAATTAGCCAGGCATGGTGGCAGTTACCTGTAATCAAAGCTACTTGGAAGGAAAGCCTTTGCCTTTAACAGTTCATAACTATAATACTTATTGTTAATTTTTATATACCCTTTATTAGACCAGTAGTTTGTGGATTTTTTCTATTATTGAAGTATATTTTACACAATAAGCTGCACAGCTTTTAAGTGTTCCACTTTCCAGGGGGTTTTGTTTATCCGTTTTTGTTGTTGTTTTGTTTTGGTAGAGATGGGTTTTCTTCACATTTCCAGGCTGGTCTCAAACTCCTGACCTCAACCAATTCTCCTGCCTTAGCCTCCCAAAGCTCTGAAATTACCAGTGTGAGCCACTGTGCTGAGACCAATTTGATCAGTTTGACAGTCACAAATATCTACATAATGTTACTCACATAAAAAAGGATAGACAACATTTTTAACTTCCTAGAAATTTTCATCTTGCTCCTATGAGTCATTACTCCTCCTCAGAGGGTGTCATTTTAAAATTTCTATTAATTTAAGATTGATTTTGCCTGTTTTTGGACTGCATATAAATAAAATCATACAATGGGATTTTGTATCTGGGTTGCTAGGCTCAGGATAATCTTTTTGAAATTCCTCTATGTTGTAGTATTTATAGTTTATTCTTTATTAATTCAAAGTTATGTGTCATTGGATGAATATACCACACATTTTGGTCCATTTATTAATACTTGGGTTATATGAGCATGTATATTATCTATATATCTATATATATAGAGAGATATATCTTTTTGTAGAAAAATGATTTGATTTTCCTTTATTAAAAACCATCCTGGCAAGATGACAAGACTGTCTCTACAAAAATTAGCCAGCTGCTCAGGAGGCTGAAGTAGGAGGACTCCTTGAGCCTATGAGTTCTGGGCTGCAGTGAGCTATGAGGGTGCCACTGCACTCCAGTCTAGTGACAGAGTGAGACCCTGTCTCAAAAAAATAATAACAAAAAAAAAACCTAAGCAGAAAACTGCTAGGTCATATATTTGATCCACATATAATTTAATGACACTGCCAAACTGTTCTTTCAAATGGTTATACCATTCTACACTTCCTCTGTTAATGTATTAGAATTACAGTTTGGGGCTGGGAGTTCTGACACATTTTCAATGACAACTTTAGAAATCTTCATACTTTCAACATCTGAAATGATAAAAATCATTTACATTTGTTTTTCAATACATTCATGATAAAATTTATTCAACATAAAATATTAAGAGGAAAAATCAAATAGTAAAGTATATATAAAATATATGTAAAACTATTTTGTCACCATCCTCCAAAAAACAAATAAAAATGTGTGTATACACATATATATGTGTTTATGTATCCATCAATTTATCCAATAAACTCAGGACAAATAAAAAACTAGGCATAGCACAATTTTATTACTCTTCTGCGTTATAAAGACTTCTCTGTCTCTCTGTCTCTGTCTCTGTGTCTTTCTCCATCCTGCTTTCTTCCTCTATTTTTTATAAAACTTTATATATATATAGTTATGTGCATAGTGTATATGTATATATATATGTACATATATACACACACATATAGATAACAAGGTTGTGAATACTGTGATCAGTATAAATGCAAACAAATCATTCTTATTACTATCAGAACTATTCATCAGAATCTTTAGCTGAGAGAAGACATTTAAGTTTGTTACTATTTATTTTTATAGTTTTACCCCTGCTTAACGAGCTGGTAAATATAGAAATAATCTCCAAAGTCCCACAGGATCTTTTCCTTCTGCCCACCAGCCTCCGAGACACCAGACTGTGAAGACCCAATCAAGCGTACACACTTGAGCCTAGAGAATTCTCAAATGGCACAGAAATGCTATGAAGAGGCAGAATGTGGTTGCTCTAGAACTCTTGATGCTCAGGACTCTCTGTCATGCATACTAATCTGGTCTTTACCAAGGTGAGTTCAGGAAATTCCCAAAGACTTTAATTTTTCTGCAATACAAAGTCTTCAGTACAAGAAATACAAATTTTGAGATGTGGCTGAGAAGTTCAGTATCTCTTTTGGACTCCAAGCAGAATAGATGACCATTTATTGGGGGAGTTAGAAGGAAAACAGAGTTTCCCTAATTGTTAAGTAAATTCAAAACTACCTCATAGTGTATTGGAGACAGAGAAGTTCTGCTAGTAGTGACTTCCAATGGGAGGAAACAATTTTTTTTTGCCTAAATTAATAGATACCTGTACACAGAATTGCTTCCAATGGAAATGGTGTTTATGAAGAAATAGAAAATAACCCAACACTAGACTTGACTCCTAGGAGCTATTGGAAGAAACTTCCCTACAGAAATTCTTCTTTGCAATTCTTCTACCAGGTGCAATCCAGCATCTGTGTGAACAAGCCCAGGGATAAGAATTCAGCTGCCTGGGCGTGGTGGCATGCACCTGTAGTCCCAGCTACTTGGAAGGCTGAAGCAGGAGAATTGCTTGAACCCGGGAGGCAGAGGTTGCAGTGAGCCAAAATCACGCCACTGCACTCCAGCCTGGCACCTGGCGACAGAGTGAGACTCTGTCTCAAAAAAAAAAAAAAAAAAAAAAAAAAAAAAACCAAGCAAAAAGACAACAAAAGAATCCAGTTGTCCCACAGACATGTTCTCTTACATAGAGAGCTTCTTCAGCTAAGAACTAATTTTCTGTAAATCTACACTTTTGTTCTATCTCTCCCCTAAGATACAATTTTAAATAAGCTTTCTCATTCTCCCTTTTGAAAATTAGCTTCTTCCAGTGTCCTCATGACTTCTTTAAGCTGGTTATGCTTAGCTTATGGGACTATTTATCAGGGTTAAAATCAGTAAGTTAGGACAACAGCTATAGATTGATTAAACACATGGCTTTGAAGTCAAACAAACTTGGATTTGGATCTTGGCTCTACTAGTTTTCAATTTTTGTGGCATTCTGCATTTTATTGAATAACCTTGCACCTCCATTTGCTCATATATAAAATTAAGATGATCACATAAGTCCATATTGCTATTGTAATTTTAAATACAGTAATCAACCCCTATTAAAATATTAGCTCCATAAGTGCAGAAGATGTTGTCTGTCTGGTTCACTAATGTATTTCTAGAAACTAAAATGATCCTTGGCAAGTGAAAGACAATCAATAAAAGTATGTTAAACTGTGTTTTACAAAATAATATGACAAATATTATAATAGATAATATGCATTGTTTACTTATTAGATGCTGGGCACCAATGGGAAGATTAATTCTAATTTAACCATTTTAACACCTCTATGGTGTGTATATAAAGTATTGTCACTCCCCTTTTAAGGTTATAAAAATTGTACGAAGAAAGGTTTTAGGACTTACTCAAGTCTATCCAGTTAGTTTTGGGAACAATATTTAACTGATTAAATCTGAATGGCCATGTCACTATTGTAAAAATGCAATAAAACTCTGCTCTCGTTATATTTTCAGAGTGGACACTTAGTTGTCTTCTTTTAAATATATTCTAATTTACACTCAGAATACAGTACTTAACAGCAGTGTGTGTGGGTCTTGTGTCTGGATTGCTTGGCTCAGGAATGCTTATGTGCATTACTGAGAATCGTCTGGAAGAGGGATTTTTTTTCCTAAGGTGGGAGAAGAAAGAACTGGCTCTGAGTTGTCTGTCTGCCAGTTGGTATTTAATAAACATAGATTGATTATTTAGTTACATGGTGTCGATGCTTGGAAAAATACAATAATTTTCTGTGATGGGTGATCAGTTTTAGTTTACAAGATGGCTGTGCAGAGCCAGAAATTCCTACTTTTCCTGACAGCCTACTGTCTTTGTTTTTTTTTCTTCCAGTCTTCTGGCTCTGGTGCCCTATCACTACCTCAGAAGGAGCAAAAATATTCAAGGCGTCATTCCACACAGATCAGTTCTCTTTGCAGAAGTTCCGATGTCCACTTTCATAGTTACCTAGAGTTAGCAGTTCAGCTGGATAAAATTTCCCTGGATTTTATTCTTGATTTAAGAGACATATTTTTTCATTGAAAACATGAGAACATGTTTCAATCGCTTGAAGTCCATAGTAACTAGTCTATGTTAGCACTTACTTTCTAAATTTCCCTCCCAATCTCTCTATATAGTTGAAGTTTTCAGAATCTCAGGCTGTCTTTCCCACTCTAAAGTATAAGATGGCATTTGAATTGGATCAGGGCTGAATTCACAAGTATTAATTATGGTAAGTTTTTGCACATGGCATACTTTATATTGAGAACAGAAGTAATAATAGGGATTACTGATAATATTTGTTGAGTATTCACTATATACTATGTACAGTTTTAGCACATTACATAAATTATCTTATTGAATAATCTTGACAATATTCTGATTTTAGGAATTATTATCTCATTTTAGATTGAGGAAACTGAGGCATAAGGTGGTGAAATGACTTGCCAATATCATATGCTAGGAAGAACAGGAAGTGGAATGTGAAGTTAGGCAGTGTGAATCCTGAGGGATTTAATTTCATTTTAGACTTCTTACAGAAGTCACTGTATTCTTGCATTATTTCTAAGTCCTCTACTCAGTATTGATTTTGTTTCTGGTCTAGAAAACTGCCACTGCTAAAGAGTGTGAAATGCTCTCCTCCTGTCAGCCATCATGTCTGGGGACAATAGCTCCAGCCTGACCCCAGGATTCTTTGTCTTGAATGGTATTCCTGGGCTGGAAGCCACACACGTCTGGATCTCCCTGCCATTCTGCTTTATGTACATCATTGCTGCTGTGGGGAACTGCGGGCTCATCTACCTCATCAGCCATGAAGAGGCCCTGCACCGGCCCATGTACTACTTCCTGGCCCTGCTCTCATTCACTGATGTCACCTTGTGCACCACCACGGTACCTAATATGCTGTGCATATTCTGGTTCAACCTCAAGGAGATTGACTTTAGTGCCTGTCTGGCCCAGATGTTTTTTGTCCATATGCTGACAGGGATGGAGTCTGGGGTGCTCATGCTTATGGCCCTGGACCGCTTTGTGGCCATCTGCTACCCCTTACGTTATGCCTCCATCCTTACCAACACTGTCATTGCCAAGGCTGGTTTTGCCACCTTCTTGAGGAATGTGATGCTCATCATCCCATTCACTGTCCTCACCAAGCGCCTGCCCTATTGCCGGGGGAATTTCATCTCCCACACCTACTGTGACCACATGTCTGTGGCCAAGGTTTCCTGTGGCAATTTCAAGGTCAATGCTATTTATGGTCTGATGGTTGCTCTCCTGATTGGTGTGTCTGACATCTGCTGTATCTCTGTATCTTACACTATGATTTTGCTGGCTGTTATGAGTCTGTCATCAGCAGATGCTCGTCACAAAGCCTTCAGCACCTGCACATCTCACATGTGTGCCATTGTGATTACCTATGTTCCTGCTTTTTTCACTTTTTTCACTCATCGTTTTGGAGGAGACAGTATCCCTCACCACATACACATCATTGTGGCCAACCTTTATCTGATACTGCCTCCTACCATGAACCCAATTGTTTATGGAGTTAAGACCAAACAGATTCGGGAAGGTGTAATTAAATTTTTACTTGGAGACAAGTTTAGCTTTACCTATAATAAATGAAACATAGACTAGATATATCGTTTGAATTGGGAATAAAATGAGGGGACAAAATTTCATAAAAGATGAAAATAAAATGGTATTAAAATCACGACATGCAATTTACCCATGTGACAAACTTGCATATGTACCCCTTAAAATTAAAAGTAGAAATAAAAAATCAAAATAAAGGCATAAATTCATAAGTCACAATAATATGTCCGTTTTCTGAAGTGTCTGAAAATATATGAATTCATATGTGTTGGGAGTGGGGGCAAAGATCTGCCAAAGCAGAGAATGCAGAATAAAGAAGTAATATACTAATTACTTAAAGGGCTGAGGCTTTTCCTAAGCATTTATTGACTCACATGCCTGTGAGACCAGAAAGGTAATAAAATGAGGACAGTAAACCTGGTGAAAATCTATGCATTGTGTATAAGAGGAGAGGCTATACAAACATGGGACAAGTTTGTCCTCTCCATGAAAGATAAATTCTACTCAGATCAAGTGCATTGTTGCCATAGGGAATGAATAAAGTACATGGTATACACAGTGGACCACTATTTTTTTTTAATCACTATTTGGTTGTAAAAAGAATGAAATCATTTGCAGCAACATGAATGGAACTGGAAGGTATTAAGTGAAATAAGCTGGGCACTGGAAGAAAAATATTACATGCCCTCACTCCTACATAGGAGCTGATATAGTCTTATGGAGGTAGAGAAATTAAAAAATGGCTTTTGTCATTCATTCTATTGCTGCAATGTTTTATGTTTATTGATTTGCATATTTAGTCAATTCTTTGCTCTGTGGGAAAAATTCCACTTGGTCAGGATATATTATCTTTTTGGCAAGCTGCTGGATTTGGTTTGCTAGTATTTCATGGAAGATTTTTGTACCTATATTTATCAGGGACATTAGCCTGTAGTTTTCCTTTTTATTGTATCCCTGTCACGTTTTTGGTATCAAGGTAATTCTGGCCACTATAATAAATTAGGAAGAATTGCTTTCCCTTAAATTTTTGGACTACTTTGATGAGAATTGGTGTTAGTTCTTATCTGAAAATTTGGTAGAATTTGGCAGTGAAGCCATCAGGTACTGGAGTTTTGTTGTTGTTGTTGTTCGGAGACACTTTGTTACTGGATTCAAACTTATTATTTGTTATCGGTCTATTTAGGGTTTTGTTTCTCCCTGATTCAATCTTGTTGGGTTGTATGTGTCCAGAAATTTATCAGTTTCTTCTAGGTTTTCCAGTTTGTTATTGTGTAGTTGTTCTTAATAGTCTCTGATGAACCGTTGCATTTCTGTGACAGCAGTTGTAATGACTCCTTTTTCATTTCTGATTTTGTTTATTCACATTTTATCTCTTTCTTCCCTTCTTAGTCTAGCTAGTAGTTTATTAATTTCGTTTATTTTTTAAAATAAACATTTTCATTTTGTTGATCCTTTGTATTTTTCAGTCTCTATTTTGTTGAATTCTATTCTGATTTTTATTATTGGTTTCCTTCTACTCATTTTATGTTTGGTTTCTCCTTGATTTTCTGCTAACTTGAGGTGTATTATTGTGTTATTGATTTGAAATCTTCCTTTTTTGATGTGTTTATTGCCATACACATCCCTCATAATGCAGTTTTTACTGTATACTATAGATTTTGGTGTGTTGTATTTTTATTTGCATTTGTTTCAAGAAAAAATAGTCATTTATGAGCATGTTATTTAATTTTCATGTATTTAAAATTTCCAAAGTTTCTCTTCTTATCAATTTCTAGTTAGATTCCATTTTGCTCTGAGAAGATGCTTTGTATCATTTTAATATTTTTAAATTTGTTTGTTTCCTAACATATAATCTTTTTCTGGACAATGTTTCTTCCATGAGCTAATGAGAAGAATGTATATTCTGTAAATGTTAGGTGAAATGTTCTATAAATGTCTATTAGAGCCATATGATCTAACATGCAGTTTAAATCTAACGTTTCTTTGTTAATTTTCTGTGTAGATGATTTCTCTAATGCTAAGAGTGTGGTGTTGAATTTGCCAATTATCATTGTATTGGAGTCTATTTCTCTCTTTAGATCTTAGAGTATTTGCTTTATGTATCTGGGTGCTCCAGTGTTGGTTGCATATATGTTTAGAATTGGAATATCTTCTTTCTGAATTATACCTTTATCATTATATAATAACTTTCTTTGTCTCTGATTACTGTTTTTGATGTAAAGTCTGTTTTATCTGATATTAATATAGCTCCTTCTGCTCTCTTTTGGTTTCCCTCTGCATATAGTATCTTTTAAAATTTCTTTCCTTTCAGTCTGTATGTGTCTTTCCAGGTCAGATAATTTTCTTATCGGTAGTATATAGTTGTGTCGTGTGTGTGTGTGTTTTAATTCATTCATTTAGTCTTTATTGTTTAAGTGTAAAGTTTAACCCACTTACTTTCAAGGTTATTATAAGAATGTAAGGGCTTATGTCTGTCATTTTATTGATTTCCATTTTTTTTCTTTTTGTGTGCAAACTTTCTTTCTTATTGTTTATCATTGCAGTTTGGTGTTTTTATGTAGTAGTAACATTTAAATCCTTCCTCTTCTTTACTTGAGTATTTACTCAACCAGTAGTTCTTATACTTTCATTTTTTTATCATAGTAAATATTATTGATTCAGTTCCAAATATAAAACCCCAGTAAGAAGGTGTTGTGGGGCTGTTCTAGTCTGTTCACTTTACAGTATCCCATATAACACATAGGCATTGCTCAGTATTTGCTATTCTATTTTTTAATATTTGTCTGATTAGATTATTTCAAAGGACATGTCTTCAAGTTCTAAAATTATGTCTTCTGCCTGATCTATTATTGAAGCTTTTGAATTTGTTTTTTTTTTCCTTCTATTTTTTTCTTTTTTTAATGCATTTTAGGTTTTGGGGTACATGTGCAGAACATGCAAGACAGTTGCATAGGTACACACATGGCAGTGTGTTTTGCTGCCTTCCTCCCATTCACCCACGTTTGGCATTTCTCCCCAGGCTATCCCTCCCCAACATTCCCCCCACTGTCCCTCCCCTTTTCCCCCCAATAGACCCCAGTGTTCGGTATTCCCTTCCCTGTGTCCATGTGTTCTCATTTTTCATCACCCACCTATGAGTGAGAATATGCAGTATTTCATTTTCTGTTCTTGTGTCAGTTTGCTGAGAATGATGTTCTCCAGATTCATCCATGTCCTAAAAATGACACGAACTCATCATTTTTGATGGCTGCATAATATTCCATGGTGTGTATGTGCCACATTTTCCCAATCCAGTCTATCATCGATGGGCATTTGGGATGGTTCCAGGTCTTTGCTAATGTAAACAGTGCTGCAATGGACATTCGTGTGCATGTGTCCTTACAGTAGAACGATTTATAGTCCTTTGGATATATACCCAATAATGGAATTGCTGGGTCAATTGGAATTTCTATTTCTAAGGCCTTGAGGAATCGCCACACTGTCTTCCACAATGGTTGAACTAATTTACACTCCCACCAACGGTGTAAAAGTGTTCCTTTTTCTCGACATCCTCTCCAGCATCTGTTGTCTCCAGATTTTTTAATGATCGCCATTCTAACTGGCATGAGATGGTATCTCAATGTGGTTTTGATTTGCATCTCTCTGATGACCAGTGACGATGAGCATTTTTTCATATGTTTGTTGGCCTCATATATGTCTTCTTTTGAAAAGTATCTGTTCATATCCTTTGCCCATTTTTGAATGGGCTTGTTTGATTTTTCCTGTAAATCTGTTTGAGTTCTTTGTAAATTCTGGATATCAGCCCTTTGTCAGATGGGTACACTGCAAAAATTTTTTCCCATTCTGTTGGTTGCCAATTCACTCTAGTGACTGTTTCTTTTGCCGTGCAGAAGCTGTGGAGTTTGATTAGGTCCCATTTGTCTATTTTGGCTTTTGTTTCCAATGCTTTTGGTGTTTTGTTCATGAAATCCTTGCCTACTCCTATGTCCTGAATGGTTTTGCCTAGATTTTCTTCTAGGGTTTTAATGGTGCCAGGTCTTATGTTTAATAAGTTAATTTTAGTGTAAGGTGTCAGGAAGGGGTCCAGTTTCTGCTTTCTGCACATGGCTAGCCAGTTTTCCTAACACCATTTATTAAACAGGAAATCCTTTCCCCATTGCTTGTTTTTGTTAGGTTTATCCAAGATTGTATGGTTGTAGATATGTTGTGTTGCCTCCAATGCCTCTGTTTTGTTCCATTGGTCTATATCTCTGTTTTGGTACCAGTACCATGTTGTTTTGATTACTGTGGCCTTGTAATATAGTTTGAAATTTGGTAGTGTGATGCCCCCCACTGTGTTCTTTTTGCTTAGAATTGACTTGGCTATGTGGGCTCTCTTTGGGTTCCATATGAAGTTCATGGTAGTTTTTTTCAGTTCTGTGAAGAAAGTCAATGGTAGCTTGATGGGGATAGCGTTGATTCTGTAAATTACTTTGGGCAGTATAGCCATTTTCACGATATTAATTCTTCCTAACCATGAACATGGAATGTTTCTCCATCTGTTTGTGTCCTCTCTTATTTTGTTGAGCAGCGGTTTGTAGTTTTCCCTGAAGAGGTCCCTTACATTCCTTGTGAGTTGTATTCCTAAGTATTTTATTCTTTTTGTAGCAATTGTGAATGGTAGTTCCTTCTTTATTTGGTTCTCTTTCAGTCTGTTATTGGTGTAGAAGAATGCTTGTGATTTTTGCACATTGATTTTATATCCTGAGACTTCGCTGAAGTGGCTTATCAGTTTCAGGAGTTTTTGGGCTGAGGTGATGGGGTGTTCTAGATATACTATCATGTCATCTGCAAATAGAGACAATTTGGCTTCCACCTTTCCTATTTGAAGACCCTTTATTTCTTTTTCTTGCCTGATTGCTCTGGCTAGAACTTCCAGTACTATATTGAATAGGAGTGGTGAGAGAGGGCATCCTTGTCTAGTGCCAGATTTCAAAGGGAATGCTTCCAGTTTTGGTCCTTTCAGTATGATATTTGCTGTTGGTTTGTAATAAATAGCTCTTATTACTTTGAGGTACGTTCCACTATACTGAGTTTGTTGAGGATTTTTAGCATAAAGGGCTGTTGAATTTTGTCGAATGCCTTCTCTGCATCAATTGAGATAATCATGTGGTTTTTGTTTTTGGTTCTGTTTATGTGGTGAATTATGTTTATAGACTTGCGTATGTTGAACCAGCCTTGCATCCCTGGGATGAATCCTACTTGATCATAATGAATAAGTTTTTTGATTTGCTGTGTCAATCGGCTTGCCAATATTTTATTGAAGATTTTTGCATCTATGTTCATCATGGATATTGGCCTGAAGTTTTCTCTTCTTGTTGGGTCTCTGCCGGATTTTAAACAGGATGATGTTGGTCTCATAAAATAATTTGGGAAGGATTCCCTCTTTTTGGATTATTTGGAATAGTTTCAGAAGGATTGGTACCAGTTTCTCTTCGTGTGTCTGGTAGAATTCTGCTCTGAACCCATCTGGACCTGGGCCTTTTTTGTGTGATAGGCTTTTAATTGATGTCTCAACTTCTGACTTTGTATTGGTTTATTCATAGTTTCGGCTTCCTCCTGGTTTAGGCTTGGGAGGACACAGGAGTCCAGGAATTTATCAATTTATCCATTTCTTCCAGGTTTACTAGTCTATGTGCATAGAGTTGTTTGTAATATTCTCTGATGATGGTTTGAATTTCTATGGAATCTGTGGTGATTTCCTTTTTATTGTTTTTTATTGCATCTATTTGGTTGTTCTCTCTTCTCTTTTTTTATCAGTCTGGCTAGTGGTCTGTCTATTTTGTTGATCTTTTCAAAAAACCAGCTCTTGCATTTATTGATTTTTTGAAGGGTTTTTCGTGTCTCTATCTCCTTCAGTTCTGCTTTGATGTTAGTTGATCTTACTCCTCTAGCTCTTTCAATTTTGATGATAGGGTGTCAATTTTGGATCTCTCCACTCTTCTCATATGGGCACTTATTGCTATATATTTTCTTCTAGAGACTGCTTTAAATGTGTTTCAAAGATTCTGGCATGTTGTGTCTTCGTTCTCATTGGTTTCAAAAAACTTCTTTATTTCTGTCTTCATTTTATTGTTTATCCAGTCAACATTTAAGAGCCAGTTGTTCAGTTTCCATGAAGCTGTGCGGTTCTGGGTCAGTTTCTGAATTCTGAGTTCTAACTTGATTGCACTATGGTCTGAGAGACTGTTTGTTATGATTTCAGTTGTTTTGCATTTGCTGAGCAGTGCTTTACTTCCAATTATGTGGTCAATTTTAGAGTAGGTATGATGTGGTGCTGAGAAGAATGTATATTCTGTGGATTTGGGGTGGAGAGTTCTGTAAATGTCTATCAGGTTTGCTTGCTCCAGGTCTGAGTTCAAGCCCTGGATATCCTTGTTGATTTTCTGTCTGGTTGATCTGTCTAATATTGACAGTGGAGTGTTAAAGTCTCCCACTATTATTTTGTGGGAGTCTAAGTCTCTTTGTAAGTAATTAAGAACTTGTCTTATATATCCGGGTGCTCCTGTATTGGGTCCATATATGTTTAGGATTGTTAGCTCTTTTGTTGTATCGATCCTTTTACCATTATGTAATGACCTTCTTTGTCTCTTTTGATCTTTGTTGTTTTAAAGTCTATTTTATCAGAGATGAGAATTGCAACTCCTGCTTTTTTTTTTTTTTTTGCTCTCCATTTGCTTGGTAAATCTTCCTCCATCCCTTTATTTTGAGCCTTTGTGT